TAAATTTTTGTTGGTTGTGGGGCTTGAACTCTGGCCTGGGTGCTGTCTCTGAGCTCTTCAGCTCAAGGTAAGCACTCTACCACTTGAGCCACAGTGCCATTTCCAGTTTTCAGGTGGTTAATTGGAGATAAGAGTCTCACTGACTTGCCTGCCCAGGCTGGCTTTGAACGGTGATCCTTAGATATCAGTCTTCTGAGTAGCTAGGATTTAGGTGCGAGCTACCGGCAACCCGGCTGGTATGTTTTTTTATTGTCAGTAGTATATGTTGATTTGGATGTTTTGAAGAGGCAATGGAACACTATGTTTAGGTAAAGAGCTGGTTTAATAGAACTAAGTGGTTTTTGTTGTTTCATTTTCTAGGTATTATTAATCCAAAGAACCCAAAGGAAGCACCAAAGTCCTTCAGCTTTGACTACTCTTACTGGTCTCATACCTCGGTGAGTCTCCTGCCTTGCTTCCCTTTTCTTTTTGTCTTTTTTCTTAGCCTGAGCAGATTCTGCTCTCATATTGTAGTTCAGTTTTTGATATAAGGAATACTATTTGAAGAATAAAATATTTTCTTTAGGGCTGGGAAGGTGTCTCAGCAGTAGAGCGCTTGCCTTGCATGCATGAGGCCCTGGATTCGATTCCTCAGCACCACATAAGCAAAAAGAAAAAAGCTGGAAGTGGCGCTGTGGCTCAAGTGGTAGAGCACTAGCCTTGAGCTGAAGAATTGAGGGACAGCGCCCAGGCCCAGAGTCCAGGCCCCACGACACACCCCCCCCCAAAAAAAAAAAAAGAATCTCAAGGACTTTTTTTTGCCTGGGCTGGCTTCCAACCATGATCCTTAGATCTAACCTCCTGAGTAGCTAGGATAAAAGGCATGAGCCACTGGTGCCCATGTCACATTTTTATCATTTTTTTTGAGACAGTTTCCCAGGCTGGCTTCAGATTCATTGTCCAGTTTCTGCTTTCTAAGTACTGGAATTATAGACTCACACTACTGTACTTGGCCCATTAGCAAGCCTCAAACATGCTTTGTGAGAAAAGTTAATATAAAATTAGGGTTGCCATGCTGATATGTAAATTATAGTTGGAGGCAAAATGTTAGTAGTTTTCAAGCAACAGTGTAATTACTACATTAGAGACTTTAGGATAATAGATAAACCCTTTATTCTGGAAAATAAAAAGGCTTTTAAATACCAATCTTGTTTTGACTGCCTTATTTTCTAGGGCTCAATAATAAAAATAACATTATTGTTGGGTACCAGTGGCTTATGCCTTTAATCCTAGCTACTCAAGGGGCTAAGATCTAAGGATCATGGTTGGAAGCCAGCCTGGACAGGAAAGTCCACGAGACTCTTATCTCATATTGGAGAATAAACTACTCACAAAAAACTCAAAGTGGTGCTATGGCTCAAGTGGTATAGCACTAGCCTTGAGCACAAAGAGGCTCAGGAAGAACACCTAGGGGCCCAGTTCAAGCCCTAGGACTGCCACCCCCACACAAAAGTAGATTGGGGGGATTTGGAACATGGGCCAGCAATAAACCATAGAGGAGTTCCTGGCTCTCATCAGGCTCAGCCTGGATGAGAGATTTTGTGATTAAGAGAAAGGACTGAGCTTCGAGGCAGATTACGTGTGACCAACATGTAAACATGATACTGGGAGGTGTGGGAGAAACTGACCACCGTAGACATTGGTGAATTAAGTAAAAGAGAATATTCAGTGTTCTTTTGTGGGGAGACGGTGTTATCTTTGTTGTCTTTTCTCTGAGAGATGACTGAAACAGAATTGTGTATACTGTGTAGAAAAAGGGAAACAGTTACCTCTTCAAATGTACAAAATGTTCAAAGAGAGAAGCCTGCATACTTTTTGATATTAAGACACGATCAAGGAGTCTCTACCTTGAGATGAGTAGATTTACAAGTAACTTACAACTTCTTCAGCATTTTAATTTTTGTCCAACTGTCCCAATAAACATGATCACCAAGTTGCTGATCTCCTCAGGAGTGACTTGTTCAATTGTTCTGCAAGACAATTTCTGCTTGTTTCCCTTTCAATTAAATTTGATGTTTGCTTTTTTGGGGAAAAAAGTAAGTTGGGAGTATGTGGTTCTACCTTAAGGCCCTAGGTTTACTTTTTAGCAGGGGAAAAAAAAGTTGTTCTTCAATCTGTAAGTTAGGAAAATGTATTAGTGTCTAAAGCTTTGACTATTTGGGAGAAAGGAATGCTGAGGAAGAGGAAAGACTTTCGTGTGAATTGAGAATGAATTCACTGGTGTAGTTTTTCTTTTCCTTTTGAGGAAAGACAACGATAGGTAGCATCTGAGAATTACTTCCTTTTCAAGTTGTCCTTGGCAGAATTGGTAGCTAAAAGACTGAATTAAATAGGGCATAATTCAAGCATTATTAAACTTTAATAGTTAACAACAGCAGATTTTTTTAAAAAGAGGATTTCAGAAATGTTTATTGTAGCCATATTTGTGTGTGGGGGAGACTCATTGGCATGCGCTGAATCTCACT